GGGTCGAGGATGCGGTGGCCGGGAGCGGCCACTGCACTCCAGTCTGGGTGACAGAGTGAGACTCCAACTCAAAAAAAAAAAAAAAGAAAAGAAAAGAAAAACGAGTCAACTGGGTCTGGGCATCACAGAGCCAAAAAGGGCTCAGAGCTCAAGCAGGTACCCCCTGCTTGCTCAGCACCGCCACCACTTCTCAGGATACATGGGGTCCCTTTCATGAGAATGAATTCTCTGGCTTCTCTTGCCGCAGGCCACAGGAGGCCCAGGCAAGATTCAGCCTGGCCACCCACACTTGGGGTTATCTGCCTCAAGGATGAACTTTGATCTGTCCAAACCAATGAATCCATGCTGGGCCTTTGCTAGGAATCCTGGAAAAGAGGAGGCCTCCTCTGTCCTTGGGTGCTGTCAAGCTAAAAGTTGGGTGAGACAGACTCTTCTGTCTTTGCCACAAAAGGAGCAACTGCCCAGAACAGAACCGCAGCAAGGCAGAGTCAACGAGAGCCACTAGAGAATGCAGGTCCCCACAAGCCTCTGGACTTGTCATTCTATAAGCCAAGCTATTTTCTTTCAGAAATTTACTAAGCAGGAGTTCTCCAGTCATAACCCAATGTAAACCCTGCTTCATAAGGGGCTTGAGTGACTTAGCTCAAACCACAGCATGTCACCCACAACCAAGAGACCTGAGTGCTCTGCAATCCACATACTGTCACTTCATGGGCTCCCACTTAATGCCAAGGCCCTTGTTCACCCTCCCACAGGCCTGTGGCCACCAGCCCTGCCCCTGGACTCACCACATCCCTCTCTTCATTGTGCTCATCCTTGACAATGAAGATCATGTCAAAGCGAGACAGGATGGTGGGCATGAAGTCGATGTTGTCCTCACCCTTCGTCTCATCCCAGCGGCCGAACACCGAGTTGGCAGCAGCCAGGACAGAGCAGCGTGAGTTCAGAGTGGTGGTGATTCCAGCCTGAGAGGGGACAGAGGAGTCAGGGAAGGAGGTGACCAAGAGCCCTGGGACAAGCCTCTCACACATACACAAGTGCACACAATTCTAAGCCTGGACAAGCAGGACTCAGCCCCAGCCAATCATAGCAGCCTGAGGAGGGCTAGGCCAGGGCAGGGAGGGCTCTCTAGGTAGAGCCACTCACCTTGGCAATCGAGATGGTTTGCTGCTCCATGGCCTCATGGATTGCCACGCGGTCGTCTTCTCGCATCTAAGTGGAAGAGAGAAATGTTAACAGACACCCCTAGGTGCAGGGAGCAAAAACAAAGTTAGCAGTAGCCACCATGCACAAGTAAGTACTAGATGCATGCCTAGCCAATGGCAGCAAGTATGTCACCTCTAATCATGGTGACAATTGTGTGGCCTTGGCATTCCTCCACTCTCCCAACATGGAAACTGAGGCTCGGAGGGGTTAAGTAACTTCCCAGTTACCCAGTGACAGGCCCAGGATTGAATACAAGTCTCCCAAGTCAGATGGTTTTTGTTGACTGAGCACAGGAGGTCACACACCCCAGTCCCACAACTATAGGCACCACCCACTTTTCAGCTGCCACCCACGCTGTCAGACTCACCTTGTCAAACTCGTCAATACAGACAACCCCACCATCAGCCAGGACCATGGCTCCACCCTCCATGATGAAGTTCCGGGATGAGGGGTCCCTCATCACCGAGGCTGTGAGGCCAGCCGCACTGCTGCCTTTCCCAGAGGTGTACACCTGGGGGAGGAACAGGGGTTTGCGTGTCAGGGACCAATGCAGTTGTACATTTTGACCCGGGTTAAGTCGAGGGGTCCCCAAGGGTTGTGACTTGCCTCTCAGGCCACACCTCAAAGCTGGCTGCAGAGCAAGAACAGAACTCAAGGCTCCAATGCAGTGCTTCTCCCTCCGGAAGGGGAGGCAGCCCTGGGCCTCAGTGTGGCCTAGATACTCTCCCCAGAGGCCATCAAACCCATGGCTCACCTGGGTCTCCCCACAGCCCTGTGATGCAGCCCTGCGGGGATCAGCTCAGAGATGAGAAACTGAGGCCCAGCGAAGAAGAGTGATATACCATGAACTGGCCTCAGAGCTAGAATGGGAACTTCTGACTGCCAGAAAAAGGTCCCACCATGAGTCTCTTGTCATCTTTGTATATACTTGGGTGCCATGTGCTTGCTGTCACTGAGCCCTTGAAATGGGGCAAGTTCCAAATGAGATGCCCTTAAGTATAAAACACGAATATTAAAGACTCAGTGCTAACAAGAATGTCAAGTGTCTCATTAATAACCATTTACATTAAAATACAACTACATGCAGAGATTATATTTTAAATACAATGACAAACAATATATTATGAAAATTAATTTCACCCACTTTTTACTTCTTTTTTGAGTCGTACCTCATTCTGCTATCCAGACTGGAGTGCAGTAGCACCATCATGGCTACTGCAGCCTTTACCTGTTGGGCTCAGGCAATCCTTCCACCTCAGCCTTCCAAATAGCTGGAATGACAAGTGGACACCACCATGCCTGGCTAATGTTTTTATTTACTGTCGAGACGAGGGCATGCCATGTTGCCTAAGCTGGTCTCAAACTCCTGGGCTCAGGCAATCCTCTCACCTCAGCCTCCCAAAGTGCCAGAATTACAAGTGTGAGCTAGTATACCTGACCTATTTTTTACTTTTTTAATATGGCTACTAGGCAGTTTAAAATGACACACACTGGGCATGGTGGCTCACGCCTGTAATTCTAGCACTTTGGAGAGGGCAGAGGTGCAAGGATTACCTGAGCCCTGGGACTCAAGACCAGCGTGGGTAACTCTTGATGAGACCTTGTCTCTACAATAAATCAAAAAACTAATCAGGCCAGGCACGGTAGCTCAAGTCTGTAATCCCAGCACTTTGGGAGGCCGAGGAAAGAGTACTGCCTTGAGCCCAGGGGTTTGAGACCAGCCTGGGCAACTTTGGGAGACCTCGTCTCTACAATAAATCAAAAAATTAGCCGGGAGTAGCATGCCTGTAGTTCCAGCTACTTGGAAGGCTGAGGTGAAAAGATCAACAGAGCCCAGCAGGTCGAGGCTGTGGTGGCTGTGAGCATGCCACTGCACTCCAGCCTGGGTGACGGAGTGAAACTTGAAACTCCAAACTCCAAACAAACAAAAAAACATAACTAACCAGGTATGATGGTACATGCTTGCAGTTGCAGCTACTTGGAAGGCTGAGGCAGAAGGATTGCCTGAGCTCAACAGCTCGAGGTCATGGTACATGGGATTGTGCCACTGCACTCCAGCCTGGGCAACAGAGTGAGACTCCCAACTCAAATAAAATAAGAATAAAATAAAATGATACACAAGGCCCGCATTTGCAGTTCATGTGACAGTTCTCCTGGATAGTGCCAGTGTAGAAGACTTGGCACGTTTTCTATCTATCCAAAGACCACCGCCTAGCCCTGGGAAAACCCTACCCTACTAACCATAGCAGTCAGACCCTCTCTGGCCCTGATGCCCCAGACCCACTTAGCAATGCAGCAGAGAACCCAGCTCATCAGACACTTGGGTTTAAATACCAGCAGTGGAACCTTGGGCAAGACACTTAACCAATCTATACCTCAGTTTCCCTACCCATAAAATGGGGATAATAGTACCTACCGCAGCCTTGAAGTGAGGCTTAAATGAGTGCTTATACGTATGTACAAAGCGCTTCAAGCAGTGCCTGGCCCTTGGTTTTGGCGATTATTGTTACTGAGGTCATTATTGAACAAATGGATAAACGACACTCAGGAAGATTAGGCAACTTGCTCTCATTCCACTGTCAGTTACTGGCCAGGCCGAGACCCAGACTTCATCTTGACTCTCAGTCCAGTGCTCTCTCACCCACTCCAAACATACATATGCCTGTTGATTTCTTTCCTCCTGTCACCTCCTCTGCCATCCTTACCGCAGCCAAAAGAAATGAGGAAGAGATTCTGGGTGAGCCAGCTCACCACAGGTGTCCTGGGGACCCAGGAGCCCTTCCCTGCAGCCTTCCTCCCTGTGGGGACAACCAGGGCAAAGAGAAGGTTGTCCGAGGCTACTCACCCCAATGGGAGAACACTTCTCCACGAACTTCAGAAGCTGGGACTTGGCTGTTCCAGGGTCACCCAGCATCAGCAGGTTGATGTCTCCTCGGCGAGTGAGTCCGTCGGGGAGCCTGGGGGAGGGTGGGTAGGTGGACAAGGTGAGAATCCACCTGAGGGCTGGCAAGCCTCAGAGCAGGGGGAAGGTATGGCCTGTGGCCTGAGACCCGGTTCATGTCCCGCTCTGCAGCTGCCTTGCCTAACGATGGAGGACAACGTACCTCCCAGGGAAGGGAGGGGAGGGTACCACGAGGGGCACTCAGGGTCATGCTCAGGCACATCCAGCATCTGAGAAATGCTCCTCCCGGATAGAAAGAAAAGGACAAGAAGTTGCCTGAGGACGGTGCAGTGCAGCAGAACGAGGACAGGCTCCTGGCCCCCACATGCGCCAGGGACAAGCCCCTTAAGCTCTCTCTGCCTCGGTTTCCTTGTCTAGACAACGGGTACCACAGCAACTTTCTCATGGATTCCTGCAAGGTGTCAGACTGGGATTACATAAAGCATTTTTAAGGAATGCCTAGAGCACAGTAAGAACCGGGTAACAGCAGCTGTAATATTAGCGCTGTTATTTTCCTATGCATCTATTATTTTATAGTTTCAAAAGGACATGTGATATACTTCCTTCAAGGGTCAGTCTTCCACCTGCTTCACTCATGTGGAAACTCGGGTTGACAGAGGAGGTCACAGAGTAAATAAGCAGCGAAACAGAGTTGTAACCCCAGTGCCCTGCCGAGTCAAGCCCACTGCTCCCCACTGCACTTGCCAGGTCCCCAGACCACCCAAGTAGGTAGGGCCGGGCATGGGAGAGGTGCACAGATTGGCCCCACCAGCTGACAGCAAGCCTGGGGCTGGCCAGGTGCCTGGAAGGAGGCAGGCTGAGGGCCCAGGAAACAAGAGCACTCACTCCCGGTCACTCAGCAGCCAACCCACTGTGGGCCCCGCCACCAGCCCCTCCCCAGACCCAGGGAGCCCAGAGTCCCACCTCTTTCGGGAGCCCCCAAAGAGCAGGCAGGCGATGGCCTTCTTCATGTCTGTGCTCCCGAAGATGGAAGGGGCGATGCTTTTGGATATGAGATCGTAGATGTTGGGGAGGGCAGCCAGGCGACGGAACTCCTCCTCCTCCTGCGGGCTCACGGCCCCGGCAAAGCTGCGGCCTGGGTGGGCAGAGCTGATGTGTGAGCGAGTGTGAGGGGCGCCTCCTCCGGCCCCCAGCCTGGCCCCAGCCTGGGGAGCTCCCAGAGGGCAGGGCCCCCAGGGCCAGGACAGCAAACTCATCCGGGACCCCGGTTCTTCCCCACAGCCCCCAAGCCCGCAAGAGTGGGCCTGATGGGTTCCTGGGTCTAGTGAGTGAGGGGAAGAGGGGAGTGGGTCTGAGGAATGAGGGGGCCGGATGGTATAGGCACTTGGGAACCACTGGGAAGTCCGCCCTCTCACTGAGAGGTGGAGGGCCATTTCAGCCCAAGGGGTGACCTGGTGTCTCTGGACATGACAGCACTCACTCTGGCTGCCGCAGAACAGAGAAGGCAGGGGCAGGGTAGACTCCGAGGCCAGTGAGGAGGACTAGCAGTAATCCAGGGGATAGCCTAAGAACGGGGCTCACAGCAGGGCAGGGAGGACAAGAAGCAGAAGATCCTGGACACATTTTGGAGGTAGAGCCGGCCAGACTTGCCAACTGGTTAGATGTGGGGGTGAGAGAAAAAGGCACCAGGGACGACTTGGGGTGTTTGCCTGAGCAACACAAAGGAGAGTGATGAAAAGACACAGGGGAGCCAGTTGGAGGCTGGGGAAAGGGCTCAGTCTTGGCCATGTTAGGGTCGAGATGCCTCTCAAACATTCACACGGACACATCAAGTCCCAGATGGATAGGGAAGTCTGAAGCACAAGAAGCCCAGGCTGCAGATGGAAATGTACCAGCTACCCGCACACAGATGCCTGGAAAGCTGGAACTAGTTGGGCTGTTGGTGTAAACAGTGGACTATGGACTGAGCCCCGGGGAACCCACCCCCATCAGTTCACTGCAACCGGAAGTCTGGAACAAGCCTGAAGACCCTGAGAGTGGCTCCTACTGCCCTTAGGTGTGAGTACAAGCTCCATATCAGGCATTCAAGGTCCCTTACATGGCCCCAGTCACCCAACTCCCAGGCTCCCACTTGGTCCTCCAGTCACTCAGACCCCAGCCAAACCGAGGTCTTCACCACTCCTGGCCTTCCTTCCCAACTGGAAGACCCTCCAGGCCTGTCACCCTTCACAGCCTAGCTCAGACTCCCCTCTCCAAGAAGCTTTTCCCAGGTCCAGTCCCAACTTCTCCTTCTTTGACCTTGTTTAGAAACTGTTTGGAATCACAGGACTCAGCTTCTGACACCAGCTCATCCAAGCTGTCCCTAGCTATTTCATGCCTGTTGTATTTCTCCAACTGGACCCTCAGCACCTGCCTGTCTGGGACTATACATTTCACTTATCTCACATCTCCTGTCACAGAGACACAGAAACAGGACACTCACTATTTCCCCACTGAGCTGACCTGAGTCCTGCAGCCTTGATCCCATTTGTAGGCAAATACCCCCAGCCCAGGGCCACAGCTAGGACTGGCAGGGCAACATCTTTCTGCTTAACACAAAAATGAACAATCTGGCTGGGCTCAGTGGCTCAGCCTGTAATCCCAGCACTTTGAGAGGCCAAGGCGAGTGGATTGCCTGAGTCCGCGAGTTTGAGACCCACCCGGGGAACTTGGTGAGACCTCATCTCTACAATAAATCAAAAAATTAGCCAGGTGTGGTAGCGCGCACCTGTAATTCCAGCTACAAGGAAGACTGAGGCAGAAGGATCACTGGAGCCCAGCAGGTTGAGGCTGCAGTGGCTGGGAGCGGCCACTGCACTCCAGTCTGGGTGACAGAGTGAGACTCCAACTCAAAAAAAAAAAGAACAACTTAACGGCATGAGTAATGCAAGGATGTCCCGAGCTACCTCATGAGGTAAAGAGCTGACTGTTAGCAGAGGTGTGCAAAGCACAGCCTTTGGCAGAGGAGAGCAGGACATCAAAGTCAACTCACCAGAGCCATCCGTGTCCACCTGGATGCCCAGGACACGGATGTAGGAGCTGCGGATGCCCACACCCACTCTGTCACGGCCCTTGCTGAAGGTCAGGCCAAACTTCTTGATGGAGTAGATGCCCATGATGGTGACCCTGTTCCCAGGGACTACCTTATCACACAGGTACCTGACACAAAGGCAGGGGACAGAGCAGAGAACGTTAGATTCTCAGTGGAATAGCATGTCCCTGATTCTAGTCACCCCCCACACTCATGGGCCACTTCGGCATTCCCCCGTAGGCACCATACCAAGTGGCTCTAAACCCAGGGCCCACGAACCAGCCCTCTGCCCTCGCCACTCCCCACTCCAGGCTCAGCGAGATGACTCGGCTGTGTGGAGGACAGTGTTGCCAACGCAGCAGCCAACAGGAAGGCAGGTGGTGGCCTGACCCTCTCGCTGAATCCAAGAGTGTATGTGTCATGTGGCGGGATGCGGGGAGGGGAAGCTCAGTGCCAGCCCATTTGAGCTGCTTAGAAGCCCCATCTCTATTTTATCCACTGTCAGACTCGGAGGGTGGCACTCCGCAGCCAGCTCAAGATAAAACTTCCTCCTCATGCCCTACCTCCTCACAGGGCCACTCCCCATGGCCTCTGAGCTCAGCCAAATCATTTGCCTCTGGGCTTTCATTTCCTCTTAAAAATAAGATGTTGAAGCAGGGCGTGGTGGCTCACACATGTAATCCCAGCACTTTGGGAGATGGAGGCAAGAGGATTTCCTGAGCCCAGGAGTTCAAGACCAGCCTGGGCAACTTGGCGAGACCATGTCTCTATAATAAATTAAAAAATTAGCAGGGCGTGGTAGCATGTACTTCCAGCTACTTGGAAGGCTGAGGTGGAAGGACTGCCTGAGCCCAGCAGGTCGAGGCTGCAGTGGCCATGAGCGTGCCACTGTACTCCAGTCTGAACAACAGAGAGAGACTCTGACTCAAAAAAATAAAATAAAAATAAGATGTTGAAACACAAGTGTCCAAGTACCCCAGTCAGAGCCAGTGCGTCATGAAGGGGACACTCAGTAACAGTGTGACCTCAAAGAAGTCACTGCACCTCTCTGTCCTTGGAGGGATGGTTAAGTGCTCTGAATTGCCTCAGCTGTTGTGAAATCAAGTGAGGCAGCAGACACAAAACACTTTATACATCAGCAAGAATCAGTCACACGTTTATAAAGGACAACCACCACTGTCACTGTCAAATGTTCTGAGCCTCCAACTCTCTTATTTTTTTTTAAGTTGGAGCCTCACTGTATTGCCTAGGCTGGAATGCAGTGGCACAAAATCACCAGTCTTGACTTCCTAGGCTCAGGTGATCCTCCCCCCTCAGCCTGCTGAGTAACTGGGACTACAGACGCATGCCACCAAACCACATGTAGAGACGAGGTCTTGAACTCCTGGGTTCAAGCAGTCCTCCTGCCTCAGCCTCTCAAAGCGCTGAGATTACAGGCGTGAGCCACTGTGCCCAGCCCCAACTCTCTCTTCCCAGACTTACCTTCTTAAGCTTTCAGGATCACAGACCACTTAAAAAATAATATACACCAAGTACTTAATGTGTATTAAGGAATCATGCCAAACACTTCACATGCATTTTCAAGGAGTCCGATGAGCGACTGAGGACTGTCCTTATCCCCATTTTACTGATGACAAAACTGAGGCTTGACAAGCTCATGCAACTTGCTCAAGATGGCAAGAGCCTGACACCTACACACTCTTCTCCCACAGATAAAGCTAATGAAAGTTATGGAGCCACTCAGAAAAAATACATGCACAGAACATCTGCATGCAATTTCAAGCTACGCAAGCCCAAGCTCAAAGACCTACAAACCTTCCTCCCAGGTTACAGGACAGGTGCCCAGGCCCAGTAGTCTCTTCCCCTTTCTAATGACCCCTGAGAAGTAGCATCTACAGAAAGCCGGGGGGGGGGGGTGGCAGCTCCCGCAGCCGCCCAGCTGGGACGAGGTTTTCCCAGCTACTCATCATCCTGCTCAACCGCCCTAGGTCTCTCAGTCCTCGGGGGGCTGGAGATGCCAAAAGGGAGAACACAGGTTTGCAGAAGCAAGAGACGCAGACACAAAGCCTGGTTCCTCCTCTCACAAAGTCATTTAACCTCTCCAGGTTACATTTCCTCATCTGCAAAATAAGAGCTGCCATGCCCCTGTAGACTGCAAGATAACGAGAGAGGAGCCATGGCAGCACCAGGAGACAGTTGCTCCAGCCGGCCACCTCTCCTCTAGTCCACACACAACCGACCCCCCAACACACCCAGACCATCCATCCACCCAACACATAAGGCCACCTAACCTCATGGACCCCACGGCCCAGCCCTGCCGGCTCACCTGTCACAATAGAGCTGCATGTGTCTGGGCATCTCGCCATGGGGCACTGCATCAGGCAGCTCCTGCAGCTTGAGGGTCTGCGAGTCCACGCACTTGCACTTGTCAGGCATGATGAAGTAGGGGTCCAGCGGGCACTTAGGGCGCCCAGCCTGATCCCTGTCAGGAGAGGGAAAAGGGTTACCAAGGCTACCCTGAGAACCTGGGCTTATTCATCTCATGAGTCAGCAAGGAGGTGGGCAGCAGCAATTGAAGGGGTCTCTGAGATAAGCTGGGAAAGGCTCTAAAAGGAGGGCAGCTCCGGTGGACCGAGCACTGGACTGGGAGTTGGGGAACCGCTTGAGGCCGGGCTCCTCCATTAATCTGCTAAGAGGCAGACAGGTCACATTCAGTCCCCTTGCAGGGTCTTGGCATGCCCACAGGCAAATGGGGTCAAGCTCATCGAAACCCTTTCTGAAGTCCTACTCAAATACCAGGATCTACTCCAGAAAGATCTAGGCAGCTCTAGATGATTCTGAGGGCCTAAACCTCTATGTGCCCCAATGTAACGAAGTCACTATTCAACAAATATAGCCAGGCACAGTGGCTCATACCTGCAATCCTAGCACTTTGAGAGCCGAGATGGGAGGACTGCTTGAGCCCAGGGGTTCAAGACTAGCCTAGGCAACACAGCAAGACCTCATCTCCATAAAAAATATAAAAATTAGCTGGCATGGTGGTGAGCACCTGTAATCCCAGATACCCAGGAGGCTGAGGCAGAAGGATCACCTGAGCCCAGGTCAGAGCTGCGGTGAGCCATGATTATGCCACTACACTCCAGAGTGGGTGACAGAGTAAGACTCTGACTCAAAAAAGAAACAAAACAAAGCCGGGCTCGGCGGCTCAGCCTGTAATCCCACGCCTTTGGGAGGCTGAGGTGAGTGGATTGCCTGAGCCTGCGGGTTCAAGACCCGCCTGGGCAGCGAGACCTCATCTCTACAATAAATCAAAAAATCAGCCGGGCG